ATGCGGAGGTTAACGTGTCTACTAATATAATTCCCCACATTCTACGTGGGGTTCTGATTTTCTCTCCACCCGCGTCACACCCGCGTTCACCTCACCTCCTCCCTCTCGCTCGTACACACACCACACCACACCACACCACATCGCACCACACCGCACCACGCCACACCACACCACACACCACCACACCACACCACACCACACCACACCACACCACACCACACCACACCACACCACACCACACCACACCACACCACACCACAGCGCAGCACAGCACAGCACATCACAGCACAGCACAGCACAGCACACCACACCATCCGTCACATTACATCACATCATGAGACACACGCACATCACATCACACCACACCACACCACACCACACCACATCACCGCGGTCTCTATCCGCCCCAGGGTCGCAGGGCGTGGCAGGCGTGGCACTTGCTCGACACCATAAGGGGGTGTGCAGGGAGTGGTCCCTCACCGCGGTCTCTGTCCGCCCCAGGGTCGCAGGGCGTGGCAAGCGTGGCACTTGCTCGACACCATAGGGGGTGCGCAGGGGGTGGTCTCTCACCGCGGCCGCTAGTCGTGCCGGCCGTCCAGGGCACAGCAGGCATGGCATATTCTCGACACCATAGGGGGTGCGCAGGGGGTGGTCCCTCACCGCGGCCGCTATCCGTGCCGGTCGTCCAGGGCACAGCAGGCATGGCATATTCTCGACACCAGAGGGGGTGCGCAGGGGGTGGTCTCTCACCGCGGCCGCTATCCGTGCCGGTCGTCCAGGGCACAGCAGGCATGGCATATTCTCGACACCAGAGGGGGTGCGCAGGGGGTGGTCTCTCACCGCGGCCGCTATCCGTGCCGGTCGTCCAGGGCACAGCAGGCATGGCATATTCTCGACACCATAGGGGGTGCGCAGGGGGTGGTCTCTCGCGCGGCCGCTATCCGTGCCGGCCCCAGGGCACAGCAGGCATGGCATATTCTCGACACCAGAGGGGGTGCGCAGGGGGGGTCTCTCACCGCGGCCGCTATCCGTGCCGGTCGTCCAGGGCACAGCAGGCATGGCATATTCTCGACACCAGAAGGGGTGCGCAGGGGGTGGTCTCTCACCGCGGCCGCTATCCGTGCCGGTCGTCCAGGGCACAGCAGGCATGGCATATTCTCGACTCCATAGGGGGTGCGCAGGGGGTGGTCTCTCACCGCGGCCGCTATCCGTGCCGGTCGTCCAGGGCACAGCAGGCATGGCATATTCTCGACACCATAGGGGGTGCGCAAGGGGTGGTCTCTCACCGCGGCCGCTATCCGTGACGGTCGTCCAGGGCACAGCAGGCATGGCATATTCTCGACACCATAGGGGGTGCGCAGGGGGTGGTCTCTCACCGCGGCCGCTATCCGTGACGGTCGCCCAGGCACAGCAGGCATGGCATATTCTCGACACCGTAGGGGGTGCGCAGGGGGTGGTCTCTAACCGCAGCCGCTATCCGTGACGGTCGTCCAGGGCACAGCAGGCATGGCATATTCTCGACACCATAGGGGGTGCGCAGGGGGTGGTCTCTCACCGCTGCCGCTATCCGTGACGGTCGTCCAGGGCACAGCAGGCATGGCATATTCTCGAC